TGAGAAATCGATTTTTTGCTACAAACATTTTCATCTTCTCAAAACTTGTACCAACCACTTGCAGTATATATTAATACAGTTTAAAAATTAATGTTAACAATTCAAGAATATTCAATACCTTTTGGTCAATAATAGGGAATTTACGTCCTTTCTTAAAGTATTCCAGAGCTTTTTCTTTATAACCATTTTTCGCAAATGATTGGCCCACTAAATAATAAAATTCTTCAGTATATGATTCATAGTTACGAATAGATTCCTCAAATTCTAATAATCTTGAAGGACAATCCAATTGCTGTTGCTTACTGGTACTTCCCAAATATAAACTGATCAATGATTTGGAAATTATGTTTCTTCCTTGTACTGCTAATTTAACCTACAAAAATTATTTTATTTACTCACCGTAAATATAACCACAGATCATTACACCCTGTAGATATACATTAAAAATTTACTACAAATATTGATACACTATTTTCGGTTGAGTCAAGAATCATAGATTACTTCATTCATTTAATATATTGTTAATAATCTAATACATTTTTACAACTCCGTACTTGGTTTAGAATATCTACGAAATACTGTTGACTTATCTTTAAAACTATGAACCAAAAACAGAACCGAAATATTTGATAACAATCAGGTTTGAGAATTTTAAATAATATACATAATTTACTTTGCATGCAATTTTAATCCTCGCGTATTTTAGCATTTTATCGTCTGTGTATATTTTAATAGCTTCTCGGTAAGCTGAATTAAACGAATGTCTTATAAAAAAACATTGTTTAATCTTATTACTGAAAAAGCAAGCTGCAAGAAATAAAGCTCTCCATTTATAACATCTGGCCCTTTCTTTAGCATTCTTTTCTCCTTTCAAACATTTATATGTATAGTAAATTGCTAAAAAAAAAATTGAAGTGTTTAATTTTTATAAACAGATTTAGTAAAAATAATAATTATATGAGAGTCAGAAAAATTAATACTAACATTTAATTGAAATATATTATATATATATAAATTAATTATATATATATATATATACTCGTTTCGGTGTGGGTTGCGTAGAGATATGAATTTTTATAACATTATATTACATAATACAAAGTAGAGTATTGTTAAAATTTAAAGTTTACAATACTAATTATATTACCACTAATAATTAATTAACTCACCGTCCAAATAAGTATGTTTTATTCCCATTAGACTATTATTCGCTCCATGAGATTTCACTACTTCTATAGCAGACTGCATAAATGGAACCAAATAATTCATTTGTTCATTACGTGATTTATTCTGTAGGATTATTTTATTCAGTTTTTTTTTTAAATACACAAAACACTATTACAATATATTGTTATTATTTTTTTCGCTGTTATTTATTTCTGTCAATCTCGAAGTACAGTTTAATTTAAAATATTTTTAAGTTTCAGTTACGTGTTCTAAAGTATTTTCGTTTAATTATTTATTATATACACTTACGGATTTCAATTCATTTAAAGTATAATTATTATTAGCTAAGACCAAATACTATATTAAGTTTATAAATAATTGATAAAATCTTATTATGAATTATAATATACCTAATGTGAAATAATACAGTCGTGAAAAACGGGGATGGAATAAAAAAAACACATTGAAATCTCTCGTCCATAATCAAGTATTTGGTGTTAAATTTATCTTCTGATTTTCCTCTAAGAGAAAAATTTGATCATAAAACAAAATCTTATTAATTTTGTACTGTTCTCATTTTTCCAAATTGCATTATTTATTATTTAATATTTCATAACCATTAAAAGGAAATTAGTATTTACTTATTTTAATTTTATTTAATTATTTATTTTTGTTACTTACTATAATGGCCGAGAATAATGGTTAAACATTTACAATTATTTACTGATTTATCGTTATGTTTATTAAAGTAAAAACTAAAATAATTACTATTTGCTAACTGTAGTCAATTGATCAGCTCAACGATTTCATAACTAAAGAATAAACTTTTTTTAAGAAAAAAAAAAAAAACTTACCTATAATATTCTGTATAATATTCTAAAAGCACATATTATTAATCAGATTTTTTAGAATTTTGAAATGAACATTTATTTTTTCACACTAATTATCATTTTGAAACCTAATATTAATGACAATTTACTAATGATAGAATTGATAGGCATTCGATGTGTTTCTCGAATCACCAAACAAATTTTATTAATTTAATTTTAACTGATATTTAATTTTCTAAATAGAAATTAAGAAACTATATATTCAAAAACAAAATTATAAAATATAAATATATTTTTTAATCAATTTATTCTTAAAAAAGAAAATGTAGAAAAATAGTTTACTGGATGATTAAAAATAAATAACAATAATTAATTTTAAATTATCTTATTATATGGATTATGAAATAAAAACAAATAATTACCCTATAAAGTTCTTTTAAACGATTGTAAGCTGCTATTTTAATCACATCTGCTTCATTCATTATATATTGAACCAATTTATCAATATCGTCTAAATTAATTAATTTAATTTTCATAATATATAGATAATATCATTAATTGTAAGTATTCATATTTAAAAATTAATGTATGGGTACATTTCATAATATATAAATAATTTCTAACGGTTGAGTGTAGTTTAACAGTAAATAACTTTTATTATTCAAAAATCCATTCTCATTCAAATTACTTGTTAACGCATCCGTCAGAATTATTCTTTTCATCACTAAATAAATTTATAAAAATATATAGTACATACTTGTTCTATATGCTGGTGCTAATTTAGGGCCTGAAATAAATTTTTAATGAACAATTTAAGATATAATTTTGAGATGCGTATGTATGATTGAAAGAGTATATTACCTGTAAACATTCTTTTTAAGCCTGAAATTATAATTGAGACATATTATTGTTCTTAATTTATTTTTACATACTTTATAAAGTAAAATATAATGATAACTTATATCACAATAATTTTATAATATGTACTAAATTTTAAATAATTACGTTTTATAAACACAATGTAGCAATAAAATAATTTTTTGGATTGATTGTGAGTTTTTGTGAATTATTTTTATATAAAACAATATGAAAATAAACATAAAAATTAAATTTTATTTAAAGTAGGCCCCCACTGACAGCTTAAATTATTCGATCAATATTATTGATTTAGAACATTGTTGGGTGAAACAATCAAAAACACGTATATATTTCTTGTTAGAATTAAAACCTAATTAATCATTATATTATTTACTTTCATATGAAATATGAAATATTTTTTAATTTTCAACTATAGTAAAAAAAAAAAATAATAATAAAAATAATAATAGCAATAATTTTGTATTAAAATGTTATTAAGATCGATTTAGTGGTGAAAGAAATCTATCTGTGCAGATGGGTTTAATATAAAAGGTATTCTAGAAATAGCAAATATATATAAATCGCTATCGATTATTTATTTTAATAATTAATATTTCTATAACAAGTCAAATAATGCCGATAGACGATAGCAGTTGTACAGTAAAAAATAGAAGATTCGTTCAATGCAGAAATTCAATTAAATTATACAAATTAAAAAAATAAAACGCTATATCTTCAAAATCTGATAATTATAAAAAACACGTGATATCAAGTATTTACACGTTTTAAATTAAACAGTTTTTATTTGTTACCTTTAGGAATAATTGGGTTAGTTATCTGGATCAAACAAATTAACCACAAAATAATGATAGTAATCGGTATGACTTTCATGGCTAGTAGTTTAGTAAATCTGTACTTGTTAAATATTAATGAGTGCTTGAGATACGTAACTTCTTGATGGTATTGTAAATTTAAGCATAACACTATCACCTACAGCTAAATTACTGATATGTACTAAATGTATTTGAAGTTTACATGACAATAAACATCAAAAAAATTAAAAAAATTAAAATGTAAAAATTAATATTTTTCAGTTAATACTTACGTTACATATGCTTATGAGTAATTAAATTTGTTTATTTGGGAACAAAAACCATTATTTGTTGGGTTCACGTCAAGGTTTCCACTCTGTTTAACACATCGTATAACAATAAAAACAATTGGTAACGTATTCATGAAGAAAATGTACATACGTTTATGCTTAATTCTTACTAGCACGTGGCCCCAATACAATGGTACCTACATTTTTATAAATTATTATAATTATTTATAATTATATTATATATTATTATTAATTTATAATTATATCGATTGAAAATGAACTAAACTATTACCAGGGATGGTTCATTAAACTCATTGATAATTATTCAACGTGTCCAACGACCTTATTCGAAAACATTAAACGATAAAGCTACATGTAATATTCGTCTGGATTTTTTAGTGGTCAAGTGTAACGGAATCAATGATTCGACGTTATTTTTCACTTATTATCGAAAACGGGACGTTTTGGTGTGCCGAAAACCCTCCCCCCCTCCAACAACGATCAGAAAATATGAAAAACGGGTGTGTACCTTTCAAATCGGTCACCTTATGTACACGCAGCCCCCGCCGACGAAGGGAGTCGTCCGTGCACACGAGTGACAAACAGCGCGCTGCAGCGGTTCAATCGCATCAAGTTCGTACGAGTCGTCCGACCGTGCGTTACCGAACGCCAACCGTCTAAGAAAGTTTTGCCCCGACGCGATCGGCATATAGGCGCGTGTTGTGGTGACGTCGGCCGCGAGAACTCCGTGCGAGATTTCAACGCCCTAGTTGACCGACCGCTCCACAGTGTTCGGAGGCGGGCAGTGGTTGTTTTTCGGTATTTTCACTGGTGCACAATATAATATTATTAAAGAAGGTCTATCTCCCACCCCAAAAACTGATAACTCCCCACGTGTTTTGACATTTCGTACTGCAATATATGGCAAAGCCTCCCGCGGCTCGGTACATCGGTCAAAATGTCGGCCCTCCTCGAACTCCCGTGGACTTCCGGCTGTAAGGGAGGCAAGGGACAACGGCAGTGGAATGGGTCGTATAAGGAGTTTAAAAAGTACACTGTAGGTCGATAAGAGATTGTTCGTAACAAAATTTCTCGTTTAATAAAACATTTTTCGTATTCTATATGTATTATTAATACAAATAATAGCTCGATAAAAATAATATTTTCGTGTCAAAACGACCGCTTAATTGATTTCTAAAGTATAACAACACACACACACACATACACACGTATTCGTTACTGCATACTTATATTTCGATACTGCACAACGTGTGCGCTATAACACACAATATTAAACATTGGCGCTTCCGCGGTCCGGTCCGACCGACGATGATCCACCTCGTCCCCGGAACATTCGAGACGCAAACATACGCCGTCACCGGGACGATGCTATCATCAGACCTGTGCGACGAACGGTTTCCTGCTCGTTTCTCAGGACCCAGGACATGCTCCTTTCGTCCATGCGCTGGTCGAATATAACCATTGTTTCGCAAAATTACGGCTACGGTGATTGGAAGACGGCGCGGCGTATGTTGTTTTCGTCGGGTTTAACGAACCCCGCGAATCGGCAAAGTGGCATTAGGTACGTGGAGTGCAACCCTTTTTTCGTCTCGCGGCGCTAAATCAGACGTGACGTGACGAGACGTCTAAGGACGACGTGCCTTTGCGGTTAATGCGCCGTCGCCGGTCGCGACTGTTAAGTATATTTTCCTTGAAATGCGCGTGTTTACCCCTCCGAATGACAACGTTATTTGCATTCGAAATGTTAAATTACGTTTCGACGCCAGTTTTGTTAATCGACGCAATTAGCACTCTAATACTGTTTCATAACATTGACATTTCCCAAAGGCTTTGCGCCGCCGAACAAGCGAACTGCGACTCGCGCCTAATGGCACACGCGCCGCTAGACCTAATCATGCCTCACTTCGCGCGGCTTCTCCTCCGTCCGGCCGTTTGTCGCGCGCTTGCGTATTAATCATCTGACGTTCGTCGGTGCCGCCACGAGTGTACATTTATATTATTATCATCATCATCATCATCATCATCATCATCATCACCGTCACCGTCACCATCGCCGCCGTAGTAATTTTCATTAATATTATTAATTTCGCCCGATTGCCATGTACACACCGTTTATAATGTGTACATGATACATTTTTTACGCGCGTAATATTATGCATATTACGTCGTCAATGTTTCGTAACGATTAGACGAACACCGTTCCTCTGGTTACCGCGATCGCGTTTTGCAACAGTAAACACGTCCTATTTGGGATTCGTTTAAAACAAATAATTTCGTTCGTCGTACTTCGCATCGGGATTATTGAAAGAATGTTTCCCTCGATGAGTAGCGACAAAGTGACCGTCCGTATCCCCGAAGAATTGCCGGTGCTAATGAAGAAAGTCATTATAGAGATGCAATATAATTATATAATATAGGTATATAATTATAGACGTGCGCGCGAATGCGATGCTTCTCCTATAATGGTTAATCTCGATGCCGTGATGATTTGACGATTCGTCTAAAGCCGATACCATACGACTCGTGTACTTGCCGAGTTTGTAATTATGTTGCTCCTACACGACTCGTGTGCACGCCGATTATTCGTCAATCGTATACACTTTGCTCGTCATCGCCAACGCTCCAACACGACTCGTAATACAATTCACAAGTAGGTATATACATTTAAATAGTTAAATTTTTTTTTTTTTAAAAAAAATTAAATAATAATAATTAAAGATTATTTAAATATTGACGCCGATTGCCGAGTGCACGGTTCGTGTGGGAATGACGTGCGACGACTACTAGTAATACTGCTGCTAAAATAATGACAATAAATAATAGTCTGTTTCGAGGGAAATCCAAGATTAAGTTTCGTATGAGCACGAGTCACTCGTGTTGTATCCGACACCGACGGGATACCGCGAGTGACTCGGCGAGTAAAAATGGGCGGTACTCTTTTCACCCAAAAATGACCTTCTTCTTTTTGCCCACGTCCTCTTTTCGACCAAAAATGAAAAAACAGTTTCCTCTTTTCGCCCAAAAATAATTGTATTCTTTTCGCCCATGGTTTCACGTTTTACATTTTGGAAACCACTGTCTCAAAATTAATAATTTTATAAATATGAATAGTAAAAAAATAATCAAACGTTCGTTTATTAGTTCGATGTAACAACGAACGATAATCGCAAATAATAGGTTGATAGTTTAGAATAGTTGTGCTATTAAGTAATCAGCCAAAAACAGTTTGTTCATTTTGATATAGGTATCATGAGAAATTATTGACATTATGATACATGAAACATATGAACGAACAATAAATGTTCTACTACATCGCCGTATATTAACATTAAGAATTTTGAATTATTTTCGTGTTTATTAATAATAAAAATATTTAAAACTAATTTTAATTTAAATACTTATTACTAAATATTGTTTTGATTTTTTTTTTTCCTATGTAATATATACTAGTGTTGGCCAACGATATAATTGTTATTTATTTCATTAATCAACCCCATATCATAATTTTTCGATAGTTATTTTAAGATATCTATATCAAGATTATAAGAAAATACCCACTATATTGATATCCTACCGATTTATCGATATCGTTGGCCAACACTATTATATACGCATCGGATACTTTTTTATTCAGGTACTTTTTCCGAGTAATATTTTTGTTACTGTTTTAATGGGGACTTTTTTTCAAGGTACTTTTTCCGGGTACCTCTATATTATAGTCCGGCAACTTATTTAAAAAGATTCCCACGGTAATCGGAAAAAAATATCGCATTTTACTGACATTAAATGGTGTTAAATTTTAATCAACTAAAAATTATAGTGCCACACTATTATAAAACGTAGAGGTAATATTATTATTCACAATTCATATACAATTCGTTTTATTAAATTATATTAATACATTTTATTAAAAACATTATTAAACTTATTTCATCCAAAATATTTATGATACTTAGAAAGTGGATTTACTACTGATAAATATTTTCTGGTAGTCCTTATTGTAGTTATGAGTAATAACGGGTGTCGCGTCATTTGGTCGCGGTAAAAAGAGCGCGTGTTTTAAGAGCTAGGTCATTTGGTCGCCAGCAATTTAATCGCGGTACATAAATAGCGTTAGATATTTGAGCGCGATAACAATATTATACTGTTATTGAAACTACAGTTTCATAGTTTTGGTTAATCAGTTCGCTTTTGCCATTTGAGATTTAACGTGTGTGCAGTGTGCTAAATATATTATTTAATTAATTAAATTAAATTGTATTAATTATTTAATTAATATTATGGCATTAATGTATGTATTAAGTCAGAAAGGTGAAAAGTTATTAGTACACAATCATTTTATACATCGAAAAGAAAAGACCATTAATAAAAAAATTATTTGGAAATGTAATATAAGAAATTTAATTGCCGTGGTCGTGCTCACACTATAGGGGAAAGTGTTGTTAAATACATTGATCATACCCATGTACCAGATATCACGAAAATCAAATATAAAGAATTTGTCAATGAAATAAAAGAAGTAGCTAAGATTTCACAATTAACTGCACATGCTGTTCTCGGAGTAGTTACAGCTAAAGTATGTACTCGTATTTATTTTATAATCAAAAAAATATTATTATAATATTATAATTTTTTTTAAAACTGTTTAGACTGATATTAATATTGTTAATCAACTACCACCAATCAACCAATTAAAGTGTATAGTACAACGTACAAGAAAACAAATCAGTTCAGCACCACCTAATCCAACAACATTATCTGATCTAAGTATTCCAGATGAGTATAAAAAATCTGTATGTGGTGAACCATTTTTATTATACGATAGTTTTGAGGAGAATATTGATAATAAACAAATTTTATTGTTTTCAACGTTAAAAAATTTAGAAATATTACAGAATAGTTATTATTGGTTTGCCGATGGCACATTTTTGTGGGGGTTTCATCGATTCCGCCAGACCTTTTTATACTTGGGTACAAGGCTTATCGATTCCGCCAGCATCGATTCCGCCAGTGCAGGCAGTCTAAAAACGACCTATCGATTCCGCCAGGGAAAAATAATCTTCCCGGACATTTTAGTTTTATTTTACTTACAAAGCTATAGGTATTATAAATATTATATGAAATACCTGTATAAAATTGTTATCGCCAATTGATGATAATCTAACTTGTAATGATGTGAAAAACGACTAATAGTCATGTCCTACGCTAATGTGGTTAGTCTCAATTTATCATCGTGTCATTATACTTCGCAATAATGAATTTCGAAATCGTAGCTGGTGAACGAGAAAATGACTTAGTTATTTATCAAAATGAAAAATTTATTAAAAGATTATGAGGCTAAAAAAATTAACCGCTCACATTTCATTAGTTTGGCATCATCCCATTATAAAAAATAATATTGTAAAATCCATCATACTATGAAAATATCATTGTATAACTTAAAACTATATTTGACAAAATTAATTGTATTATTATATATATATATATATATATTGTACTGTATTAATTATTATACTGATTATTAATTTTTAATTAATATTTTTTAGAATTATTTTTTAGATATATTATTATTATTATTATAACAGAAACAGGTTGACAGCAGCAGTTGCCAGGTCGAGGTAGAAATTGGTAGGTGGCGGAATCGATAGGTTGTTTTTAGACTACCTGAACTGGCGGAGTCGATACTGGCGGAATCGATGCTACATTGGCGGAATCGATAGGTCCCCATTTTTGTGCACTCCAAAATTATTTACTCAATTTTACACGATTCATAGCATTATATATACAAATGTGATATCATTAGTTTACGTTATTTTGCCCGATAAGTCTGAAGATACATATCGCCGAATGTTTGTTGCATTAAATTCGATTAAATCTAATCTTAATCCAAAACATTTCATGTTAGATTTTGAAAAGGCCGCCATGAATGCTGTAGTACATGTTTACCCTGAAACACAGGTTAAGGGTTGTTTTTTTTCATTTGGGTCAATCTTTTTGGTGTCATATCCAAAGTTTGGGACTTCAGAAAAAATATTCAGAAGATCCAGAATTTTCATTATGCTTACGTAAATTATTGGCTTTAGCTTATGTCCCAGAAAATAAAGTTATTGATTCTTTTGAATCATTAATTAGTACAGATTTTTACGAAAAAAATCAAAACTCATTAACTGAACTTCTAAATTATTTTGAAGATACGTACATCGGTAGACCGAACAGAAGGAGTCATAGAAGACCTGCATTATTTGATATTAGTATTTGGAATTGTTATGAATTAATCCAAAAAGATATTCCATGCACAAACAATGCAATAGAAGGTTGGCATAACCGTTTTAATTCTATGTTGAATGCAGTTCACCCGTCCAAATGGACATTTATTAATGCATTAAAAAAAGAAGACAATTTAAATCAATTCAATGTCAAACAAGCAATTGCTGGATATTCACTTCCTAAAAAAAGAAAATATAAAGATTCAGCTTTACGGATTAAAAATTTGTATTGCAATTTGAAATTAAACCTATTGATGGATATTTAAGGGGCATCGCTGCAAATTTTCAGCTACAAATTTAGTATAATTATGACTATAATAATATGATAATATTGACTAGATTGTATGAACATATTGATTTACACTAATTTTGATTGTATTATAATTTATTGTATTTTTTATATTAATTTTTTTTTACTAAACAGTGTTTATAACATATCAGTGATTTTATAATAATTTAAAATTATGGTTTTTTTTTACTTTGCGCTCTTATAATGTGCGCTCTTTTTGCTTACGCGATTAAATTTCTCGCGACCAAATGACTTCGCTCTCATGACGCGCGCTCATTTCACGGCGACCAAATGACGTGGAACCGTAATAACGATAGATTTCTTTTATGACATACAGTCAACATGAACAATAATTGTTTAATTATATGATTTACGTTAATTATTAACGAGAACAATTTTTTTTTCTTTTCAAATTATGATGATATTTTGTCTGTGATTCTGTGTATTTGGTGAATTGTCGATTGCTGTGAACGGAATCCAAATCGATTATTTGGAATTATTTTCTTTTTTTTTCACCTTGGATTATTTTTACGTAATCAAATGTTTTTCATGCTATTTTTGTATGATTTGTTATTATTATAACCCAACAGTACAAATCGAGTATCACAGTTGATTTTATATAAAAGTATTATAAAATTTAAAAAGTATTTAAATACCCAAAAATTATAGCTATGAACTAAAAAAAAAAAAAAAATACTTTTATCGATTTACAAGTACGCAACAATAACATTACATGAATATTGTTAATAGTTGAGAATTGTAAATGTAAGACATTACCAAGTTTGTATGACTGTAAAAGAAAATATTGATCAGTGTAGTAGAGATAGCTTACGGTGGTTGTGTGGTGCTCACAGAACTTTTGATCATGTAAAAATGTGATTTTTGTTCGTATAGGTGTTGCGTAAACAGCCTGGTGACAGTGAACATGAGATCTTATCGTTCATAGCCGATTATCTGGATCGTTTACTGGAGGAAAGACGTAAGAATAGTAGTATGTCGGATCGAATTCATCATAATCCTCTCGGTTTTTTATTTATAACGTTGACATTTATTTCTAGAAGATTTTATGAATATGGTGACAAATCTAACCAAGACGGACGAGGCGAAATACATAGATAGTTTGAAAGAAACCAATAAGTACACCGACGAACAGTTGGATAAACTCGCTATCACTATCCAAGTTTGCTACAACTTTGTTATTTACATTATTACGTTTATTTTGTATATTAAATTTTTAAACGCACACTTATTGGCAGTTACACTGAAGATTACATCGAGATAGAAATCTGAACATCAACTTGATTTTTTTTTTTAAATCGTGTTAACTGTGTTTACAGTCTAATGTCAGAATACAAATTAAAAGTTTCAAACGCTTTCAAAGTTTTACTGTTTAGATTTTTGACATTAATTAATTTTCAACCAATTAAATCATATTTGTGAATATATTCCGTACTTAAAAATAATCTTTCTTTTTCGAGTAGCGAAAATGGAGGAAGTATAAAGGGTACGATCGCGGTGATTTAACTGCTAAAGATATTCCCACAAACGGTAAAACTAATCATTTTTCTATTATGTAATGTTATTATCTAAATTGTGGTTGTTATTGTGAAAAGGTATATTCAAAACGCTTATCGGTGATGATATATCTTTCAACACCGCGTACAAGGCTGCAGCAGTAATACAAGTAAACGTTCTCGATAAATATATTTAGCTTACATTTTATTATATCAACATTATATTTTAATTTTGCTTCAGAAATTCTGGAGTAAGTTTAGACCGTTTGATTCGAGTAAACGATTTAAAAACGAGGACATTGAAGAATTAAACTTCGAATGCATATCCGAAGATGACATGTTGCGTGTAAACGTGGTGAAGAATTGCCAGAGGCTATGTGCCGCCTATTCCAAACTTAATAAATGACTCGTTTGAAAATCTAAGCGTGATTGACGAATACGATAATGTAATGGAAATCTCCGAAGGCAAAGAAATAAATTATGATTAATTATTTATATTTCATTGATAACGCGTTAAACGGAAAAAAAAACCAATTCCAATGAGTCCATTATTCCAATTATTAAATTAGTTGTAGGAAACGCGGTATTAAAATTTTTAAAATAATAAAGTATCTAGTGTTTTGCTTAAATTAATAAAGATATATCACTCTCACACTTTAACGAATGCTGAAAACTAAAACAATAATATTGACATATATTTTAAGCTCATACACGTATGAGTAAAATACTTTACAATTTAGGAACATACAAATTATACCCTAAATTATAATGATGGAACTATTTCAAAATAATTTATTAATTCCAATTCGTATTGGCCCATAAAATGGATAATTCAAAATGCATTTCGACTCATTAACAGAGATGAATGACGGTCGTCCCGTCACCACCATGCCGACATTAGGAGTACGGTGAAAACAGGCGATATTGTAATCGATTTCTTGACGACGGGCAAGTCAGTCACACTCGCCCTAAGTATTATCCACTCTCTCTTTCTCTCTCTGTATGTATATACATACATTGTACACACATGTACATGTATACATTATTAAATAAGAGAGTTAACAACAACGTATTCGCATTAGCCGGAGAGTTTGTCGGCTGCTGCAGCGGTGACGGCGGTAACCCAATATAGCACTCGGCGAGGGTGTCATCGCAGTCGACGGTGAACAGTCTATGCTAAGGTCCCGGAGCCGAGTGCGAGCTGTAATGAAATAAAAACAAGGTATTTATAATGACATAATCGAATGGTCGCGGCCGGTGCCCGACAATTTGAACCCGGAGGCTGATGAACGTGCGCGTGTCCGGGTTGCCGATGACCGAAATAATCAGGAATCTCGCACGCCGGACACGTACGACCGATAATATTACCGTCTAATACGTATGTGTGTGCGCGTGCGCGCGCGCGCGCGTGTGTGTGTGTGTGTGTACGCGAGAAGCAGTCGAAAACGAAATTGATTTTTGAGCAGAGAAGAAATGTGCACGAGAGAGACGAAGAGGTGTACATCGTCGGGATATCGTGTCTGCATTGTGCGTGAGCACGGAGGGGATGAAACAACGACGCGTGTTCTCAAAATCAAACGCGCGTATAATGAAATGAAAGGATTTTCGTCGCGTCGAGAAGAACAAGACTGCACGAGAGAGAGACAGAGAGCGATGACGGTGACGGTGGACGAGAAGGATCACGCGTGAGCAGAACGGTTGACTTTGTGCAAATAGAATTACCTTGGGTACGGTACGGAGGCGGAAGGAACATTATTGTTGAATGTAAAAATTCGTGTTTGCATTCTTCATCTCTTCCGCTCGTCCGCCAAAAAGTGTATCATCTGTCCGCCTGCCCGTGTGTCTGCCACATTTCCGTGGTCTACAGGATTGAATACGAATTCAATTGAGAGACCAGATATGACTCGTCTGCTGCCGCCACCAATGCCGCTAGTTTTCAATATCTGTAGGCACGCGATTCCTACCCCTGTACACCGTACGGGAATACGTATTATTTTTATGCAACATAATATTGTGTTCGTTGCCGGATCGACGGCGGCGACGCTTGTCTCCCGTCGTACCGGGAATGCAAATATTATTAGTCTGAAAATTATTATTAAGTCATGTATACGAAAACGACGAGTGCATATTCGAAAAGTTTTCTCATATAATGCGATCTAAGACGGGGGATGAGCGCGGCGGCGCTTTGATATTGTTGTGTGGAGTACGTATACCGTGAAACCACGGACGAGTTTTACGATCGTATAATTATATATATATATATACGTATAAGAGTTCTTAAAAATATTAAATCTAACCGAGCGAATAATATTCGAGAGACCGATCCGGCATACGTAATAATTTATTCCTGATGCACGTATACATACGTACTCCTCGAACTGGAAATTGCGCACAGTCTCTGTTCGTATTGTAACAGAAACAATGAGCGAGCAATATTGTTTTCAATCAGTACGTATAATGCGTGTAAATATCGTCTGAATAGTTCGACTAGAAAAATCGTTCGGTTAGTAATTGTTACGGCATGTTAACGGCATCGATTCCTAAGGGTAATGTTTATTAATTCAATGTTAGCACCGATTGGTACTAGGACCGCGAACCGCATCTCAAATGACGGGTACAAACTAAAAAAAAGCTGTTGCTCTGGTTATAGGTTTTAAAGTTGTGCGTACTAAGACTACGCGTGAGGCGTAAAATTGCATACGGCTATCATACACCGCTCGTACGATTGATTATGAGTTAACGGGTTTGGTATCAAAATAATCTTCGTTCGAGGAAAACGTTGGGCGTCGAGGCCGTTTAGTGTTGATCGTTCAAAATCCCGAACGTCTTTAATCCGACATCGAGAGGAAGCTATCAACAGGGATACGTGGCAGTACAGAGCATTATAAGGTGCATAAGCATTATGCGAAACGTGCGCCTATATTCGTGGACGAGTTACGATTTACACGCGGTTGGATAAGAGAATAAATAACATTATTTATGTATTACGCGCCGTGGTGAGAAACGGCGAACTTCACGGCACCACTACGGTTCGCAATCGAAAAAGAAATTTCCGTAAACGGGAAAACGGGGAAAGGCGCGCGGGCTAGAGTGAGAGGTCTATTAATGAGACCGGAAGACTGCAGCGAGTGTATTCAATCTCGCGACAGCCTACATTATTTGCACGCATAAAATATATTCGTATGCGTACGAGGCGACGAGATCGACGGCGATGACGACGTTTATTTAAATTAAAAATAAATCAGACCGGTCGCCGCAGGGCCGGAAAAGTGGCTCTCGCGCCCCGCGTAATATTTAATGTGTATACGTGTAGGCACACGTAGGTAAACGTCGGAGAAGTTGCATTTTTCAAACGGGCTGTGCGACGAAAAACGACGTCTACAGGGAAAACTACGTTATCCGAACGCGGGGCATAATGTGCACGGTAACACACACGCGCGGAGACGAGCTGGCTGAACTGATGGCGGCAATCCATCACGCGCGCGCGAGCGCGCGTAAATGATGTCACCCGACGGAGTGTGTTTTTTCTATTCGCTTTTTTTTTTCTCTTTTCAATTCTTTCGTACGCGCACCGGTCTACTATTACTGTACCGGCACTGCTACGGGGTGGATTTCTAGTTTTCACAACGACATTTTTAGGCCAAACGCCGGGGCGTCGTCGTCGAGCTCCCGTGGGGAAGCGACTCGTTTAGAAGTCATTTGCGTCTCGCCTACCCGTGATTGCGTCTGCTGAACTCATTTCAATACGCCAACGCTCTGAGAAACGTTTATATATATATATATATATATATATATATATATATACGAGTATGTATACACCGAAGACGAGAAAAAAAAAACACTCGATGGCCTCTTTTCGTCCCTACGCGCGTGTATTAAACGCGACGCCGTTGTCCTCGTCGGTAAATGCGCTCGGGAAACGTTCGTTCCGTCTTATATCCTTCTCCCCTAGGGACGACGACGATAACATAACACCGACACGAATATCGGACTGATACGGAACCAAGCAACTCTGTACGTGTTGTGCCCGTGCGTGTATTGCAGCGCACAATCATGACGTGTCATTTGAACGGCGACACTTCGTGTACACGTGTGCGCGTGTGTGTTTGAGCTGTGTATAAATTATAATGGACTCGACTAAAATCACAGGACCTTTTATGCAAAACTCACCGAACGGTCGAAATGCAGTGCGTGCGAATTAGCGGACTACCGCCACCGCTGAGTGACGTGTGCGTATTGAATTAACGTGTTACCGCACACTTGTGGTCAACGGTCGAACGGCAAAAGGGTGGCAGACGGGGTCGTGAAAAATTAAATTTCCATTAATTCCCAGTCATCTCTCACTTGCAGATCACGGATACAGGGAGTCATGGTGACCTTTTCGTATACGCTATAATGGTATATACGTGTGTGTGTGTGTGTGTGTGTGTATGTGTATATAGTTGCAGATGACCTGCAACGATGTGATTTCGCCCTCTCTTCACCTATCACTTCACACCCTCTTCGAAGAACGACTCGATGACCGACGGACTGTTCCTTTCGAACACGCTTGCGACATCGTAGCATAATATAACCTGTATACGAGAACCGTTTCGGTATAACAATCGCTCTTTGGATTAACTCGATATCCACCACAATCGGATAACTGTATATTATATTATCGATATGATCTGCAGTGACCGGATTTCTTACGCCAATCGGCATCATAGGATTTCTTCAAACCTTTTAAAATTCACGAGTTAAACATTGACCGTTCGAAACTATAATAATCAACTATGTTCGGATTATTTGAATATTCGTGTATTCAGATTTATGACATATCGATGCTAATACGAAAGTGTAAAAGTAGCCGTTAACAAAATCTATAAGATTCAAAATTGCTCACGGACTATGCGTGCGTGCGCATGAACGGTAATGTTCACAGCGATAATAATATTTATGCTAACAGTTCTTACGGTTCAAACATTTGGAAATGTCCGAAAGAAGCCATTTGAAATCATTTTTATATCGTTTATATCAATAGCGACTCGACGGATCATAGTCTCGCGCATTCTCTTCCGCGGACGAAGAAAAACGGTTGATCAGTTTATCTCCACTCGTCTGTAATATAAAAATAACGGTGTTCATCATTAACAGTGCTGTGTCGAGGGTAGTTTGAGGACCGCAAGTTAAAATTGACCACGGTGTGTTTTACAACGTTGGCTAACAAATAAAATTACTGATTTATCAATTAATTGTGACTACACTGCGATATACAAAACACAATATAATTATTGCGATTAATATTTATTACAAATTAATGAATCCGAATAAATAAAATGAAAAAAATGAAATCGTTTCGGGTGAAAGGACAGCAACAAAAGTAATATCCCCTGTAAATGTTACGATCATAATCCGGCCCTGATCGTTAACGTTTCGCGTACACGCCGAGCCGATGAAAAAATGATTGGATTTTGATTTTCACTCCGAGCCCGTCAGCAGCAGCATGGCTTACATACGCA